GGCCAAAGATACCACTCCCATTGAATTCACAGGGTTGGATTTAGGAGGGTAGGGTACCTTTGGATCCCTAACATTTATTGTTTTTGTAGGTTTTGAAAAATATACTTACCGGAGAAGACGACCGGAGCTAGGGCTCCGGTGCCTCTCCCGTCCAGTGAATTTGTTTATAATATAATTATTTTGTTTGTCTAATGATAATGGATGTATGGTCACCCCAGTGGAAAAGGCGCGCGCGTTAAGGCATTGTTATACCAATGCGTGGGTTCGATCCATGCCTTTTGGTATTTTGTTTTGTTGTTTTCATATTTTTAGATTTGGCATATTACAAAGCGCATTAATGCTATTCTTTAGACACAAGCGCGTACTTGGCGCAATGGTGAAGGTGTTGGGCATAAAGGTTGAGGGAGTGGGTTCAACACCCACCCCTGATAATTTATTTTAAAACCTTGTTTTTCTTTATTTTTCCTTAAAAACCCTAAATTCATAAAACCATAACCTTTTTAAACAAAATTAATTTTTTCAAATCCTTTTTACAAACCCTAATCAAAATAGGTTTTTAATTTAATTAATCAACTTTTTTAATTAAAATTAATTAGACTTTTTTTAGATTTAGTTAATCATCAAAAACCTTTTTCATCAAGAAATCACTGGAAAAAACATTGTTCGTTTTTATTATTACATTCTTTTTTCGCGTAGTTTATTCTTCTCACATTTTCCTAGTTATTATAACTATTTCCCAGGATGTAATAGTAATTAGGATTTACTTTCCCGCATTTTCTTACCTATGTACCTCTCCCAAAGCGATGTAATAGTCTAGGGTTTATATTTCCGCTTTTACTTTCGCACCTTTACAGTTTTTTTGCTATATTATTGCTTAGTAATTAGGCTTGCATGGAAAGACTAATAACAAATCGATAACTAACCCTAATTTAAAATATAAATAACTGGAAAAAAATCACTTGCACACGTACACCTCTAGGGTAACCTCCCTTGTTGCCTTTTGAAAAATAGCCAAGTCCCTTGAACATAGGGATGCTTTAGCAAAGTCCCTCGATACAAAGGTCATAATCCCTCGATGACCCTTTCGATGTTGCCTTCGATAAATGATCTAGTCCCTTAACGATAATTACTAAAGCGTCCTTACAAGTTGCCTTCGATGACTGTACGATGACTCACATTTGTTCCTTCACATCCAACGATAGGGCTTCCTACTAACTAATGGTAGGATAGCACTATCTAAAGGAGGAGGAAAATACAAGAACGACCTTGAGTAGGTAGAACTCTATTAATCGCTTGCTCACAAAGCTTTTCAAAACAAAAACATTTCACACAGACACTTTCGAAATATTTTCAAAACACTTTGTACGTATTCTCGAGGACAGATATGAGAATCATTACAAGGTTTCGCCTTACAATTGGCAACTTTTCAAAATATTTTTCAAACATACACAACACAAAGCAGTTTTCAAAAAGTGAGCTAGCGATTAAGAGCCTGTAGATAACTACGGATGAAAAGGGTGCTAATGAAACAACCGGCCAAACCGTCATATGATATAAAAATCAATGAAGTCGCCATCAAACGTCTTTTATCCTTCCAAAAGGGAAAGGTAAACATCAAGAAAACCTGAAGAGGTGAAATCACGGTCTTGCGACCGAGAGTTCGGGTAAGGAAGTCTGTTATGCGGGGGGAAGGTATTAACACCCCACACGCCCATAGTACTCTACGGTATCCATTCTTATTGTCTAATCTAATGGGTGTACATAATCTATATCTAAAGCTTAAAGATGAAAAGGGAATGCATGCAAAGAAAAAGGAAAAGAAAGTGTGGGGAAATGAAAGGAATATTTACAAAGATATGCTCGATTAGGCCCCACAAAAGCCTCTGCCTACGTATCCCTTTTAAGGAATCAGAGCAGCCGTAGTTCAGATCATATATTTTGGTTGGTTTGTGTTTTTTTAGTTAAGAAAACAAAAGCAACAGTCAAGATGGCAAAACATCAAATAAAATGACAAAACATCAACGGCGATGATAAAACAACAAAAAGAGATGACAATATATCACATGGTAACACAAACTCAGATAAGATGATAAAATGTCAGCATGATAGCAAAATATCAGACAAGACGATGAGACATTACACCTAACAATGATATCGAAAATCAAAGTAGGATGAAAAACATACGCGATAGCGAAACATCGGCAACAAAAATATACGATGGCGAAACATCGGAAAAAAGATAGCAAGATAGAATGGCAAAGATGGTGAGACATCATAATTCAGATGATAAAACATCACACCTAACAATGATATTGAGAATCAAAGTAGGATAACAAACATGTGCGATGGCGAAACATCGGCGAAAAGATATATGCGATGGCGAAACATCGGCTAAAAGATAGCAAAATATCATGGCAAGGATGGCAAAAAATCAATTTGACAAGGTTTAAAACAAAGCCAAAAGGCGCACAAACAATTAAGATTGGTTTGTATTTTTTACCTTGAAGAAAGATTTAATTTCATTAGAGACATTTTTATGATTTACCAAGAAGAAGTTTTAGTTTTAAGATGCAATATGAAAAGAAAATAAAAATAACTAAGGGAGACTAGCCTAGCACTGCCCCTAATGTTATCATACAATGATTGACCCTAAGGTTGAGGATGAAAGAGGGAAGTTTCTACCTTATGTTAGCATGCGTGGATATCTATCCTAATGTCTAGCTCGAGGACTAACCCTACACGAGAAACTCTAAGGGAGCATAGTATAGCAAACAAATAAGCAAACAAGTGCTTTGGCAAAAGCACACAACCATAAGTATCATATATTGACTCAAATGGATGGGGGGAATCAAGAGAAATGCTTTAGCCAAGGGGAGCAGATCACCCGAAGCAAACAAGCGGGAGACAGATGAAATAAGAAAAATGTGACGTCCAAAGCGACTGAGCACCTAAACAAGATATAGAAGATCGAGGTAGGCGACAGAAGACAATATGAACGATCACAGAGTGTCAGCATCGGCCAATGCATACTCCTGACAAAGCTTGGGGGTTTGATTGCAAAACCCTTCCCCACTTAACGAACTCGATGTACAAGATCACAATAACTCCAAAGCATCGACGTACCACGTGAGCTAAGGATGACACAGACTAGAATGTACGGGGGTCGATTACAGACCCTCCCCGCTCGCCTCCTTTTGAGGACTTATCACGTGTAATATAATGCAGGCATAAATTTAAACACACGTGCATAATATCTACTTCTAAAGTAGGATTTTAAACAAACACAATTAACATATAGAAAATGGTGCCTGCTACAGGACTTTAAACACCGACTTCGAGCACACGCTCTTTATTTCTTACTTCCTACTTCACATGATTTCTAGAAAGCAATAAACGTCCATACTATACATGATCTCTAGAAAGTGGTAAAATGCAGTATTTGTAATATTTACAACAATAATGATCTGAATGTATTTACAATATTTACAACAATAATGATAATGCATTATTTACAATAATAATGATAATGCATTATATGAAATATTTACAACAATAATGATCTGAATGTATTTACAATATTTACAACAATAATGATAATGCAATATTTACAATAATAATGATAATGCAGTATTTTCAATATTTATAACAATAATGATCTGAATGTATACCAAATGGATAAGACAAATCCGTATACATCAAACTCTGCAATAAAGTATATGAATCTTCACAAGCTCCAAAAGCTAGCATCCGTAAGCAAACAACGTTTGAAAAGGTGATAGGAAAATAAAAGCAAACATCTGTCACCAAAGCGGCCAATCCAAACTTGTTTCTCCATATATACACAACTCACCAAAATGGTTAGAAAATAACAACACAATTAAAATACAACTGGTAAGTAAGCAATCCATGAATGAAATAATAATATTATGTACAATACAAGATAGGCAAGTCACTTGATCATAGTATGGCATTTTCGGACAACATTGCGTTAATACCGAAAAGTTCACCAAAGTTGTTACAAAAATGAGCAAAGTGAAATCCGGCATAAGTATGAGTTGTGCATGGTCAAGTAGCGAAAAGTGAATCATGTTTAAGTGCTAACGACCATACTCCAGACAACCATGACATATTCAAGCAATTGCATTTAAAAAAAATGGTAAAAACTCCTATGTACAAGTTGACGGTATTAAAAAAATATGGTGTTTACATAAAGCGGAAATGTAGACATTCAATGTAAAAACTAAAGAGGTAGACTATTTTCTACAAGTTAGTATATTTACGCACTAAAGAGAATGGCGTCATGGACCAAAGTTAGTGCAAAACGGTATTTTCAAAAAACGTATAATACGTGCATAAACCGAAAAGTGCTTCCGAAACAAGTGGTAACCTCTTGAAAACCATCCTGAATGATTTATAAAAATTATGTGCAGCTATACATGTGCCAACAGTTACAAAAATGCGTTCGATTCGGTCAAATTTCATCCAAAAACTCGATTTTCCCAACAATTCTGGTTTAGGAAAATTGGGTGAAAAATGTCTGAATCGAAAAACTAAATGCGTAGGAAGCTCCGGATGGCTCAAGAGACATGGTCTTCGTTAAAGAAAGTCGGAAAAACTCAAAGCGGTTCACAAGTTATGGCAAAAATCGGTTTATGTCAAAAAATGTCATATTTTCCAAATATTGAGATGTTTTCCATTAAACTCGATCAAACTTGTTTCAACTAAGTTTTACAATGGTATTAGAATTTATTGGAACTCATCTCAACACTTAGTAATGACAATCAACAAGTATCCACAAATATTTGGCAAAAAAAAAGTGAGTTTTATGTCAAAAGTGAGAAAACATTGGTAATTTGAAAATACTACGTACATGATACATCATAATGCAAGGAAGCCTCATGAGATTATCAACCAAAAAAACCCATAAACAAAGGCCAATTACTTTGACATTAAGACCTTGAAGAAAACTCACAATATAAAGTTCCAAATTCATGAGTTACTTATCCAATACCTAGCTTCTTTAGCATTCGACTGTCAAAACATAAACGATGTCATGAATTAGTACCTAAAACTAACCGAAGTTCCAATATGCTCAAATTCCTTTAAAGGTGAGAAAATCAAGTTCCAATATCAAGCATTCATACATTTAGTCTCAATGATGTGCAAATTGGCAATTGAAATAAGCAAGAAGCATAAAAATGCTATTCGGGACAGCATTACAATCGTTTTGAAAACGTGCAACAATTGATTCAAAATGCAAAGTTATTTGTATTGGAAACAAAAGATAGGACACCGAGCACAAGTGATCAATCAATGATAAGAGGATCAATTTTTATTGAAAAAATGAGTGTTCCTGACAGCCACGCTATACTTACGTAAGTATGCCTAAAAATCGGTTAAAACACAACCAAAAATATTAGTATTAACAAGAGGCAAAATTATGTACAAAGAAATACCGTTCATGAATCAAAATTCTATGCACATATAATTCAAGATTCCGAACATCATTGTTACCGTTTTGTAAGGTCCAAAATATCTTGAAAAAGTGCAACAGAAAAGATCTCGGTATCTTTTAAAAACAACAAAACAATACGGTAACTCTAATCCGGAATTAAATTACATGCCAAGGCATAATCACAAATTATGGAAATACCTATATACATGCTAGCATTCACCACAAATCAGAATTTGGAAATCAACATTTAACGTCTAGTCTTGAATGCTAGCATGAAAATACTTATCCATAACTTGCAAGCAAAGCGGCATTACGTAAATGACAAAGACAACAAAACAGTGAGAGAAATACATAATCTTAAAGCATTATAACACATCTACAAATTGCAAAACTATCTCCACCGCAAGCTTATGTCAAAACAAAGGAAATTGGAGTTATACCATAACTTGTAGAAAGTAAAACCTTATGCATCAAGATACATTCTAATGCTTCAATTTCCACCAAAAAACAACAAATAATGAAATTAAAGAATGCTAGTTAGTATCAAAGTATTAAAGAGATTAGTAGTATTGATTTCAATTCATGAGGTTATGTTACCGACACTTTTCAAACAAGGGGTAAGAAATTCAGAATTAAGCATAATCTCATAACCTCATGAACAACTAACAAACACCTTGTTTCTTATCATTTTGATATCAAAATTGATAACAAAATAAAGAATTAGTACCTAAAACTAAGCTAAGTGTTGGTATGCACTAAATTCCTAAATCAATTATAGAATTAACCTAAGCTAACAAAAATCTGAAAATTATACCTAATTATATTCCATTCTAAAAATCTGAAAATTCAAGAGGCAAACAAACTCTCTAATTCAATTCTTGAATTCTTAACTATTGCAAAAATATGAAAATTCAACCTATATCCTAGTTACAACAACAACTCCAAATTCAAGATTCAACAGAAAAATAAAGGAGATTATAACAGTACCTCTTGAAGATGCTTGCAGTATATGAAGAGGAAGAATCGAGGTTGACTGGTGCTGAGTGTACCGACTGGGAGGAAGTAGGAAGCGACAAAGGGAGGTTGCAGACGCACGAAAGTAGAGCTGAGAGCGGAAGAACGGAGGGCGCTGCAGAATTAATTGCAGAATAGAGGGGTGTAGGGCTGAGAGATTGCAGAACAGAGGGGCGCGAGGCTGAGGGATTGCAGAACAGAGGGGTGCGGAGCTGAGAGCGGAAGAACAGTCTGGCGGTGAGGAAACGGAATTCCGACGGCGAGGGAGGAGGCGGCCAGAGTTGGCTGAGAAGAGAAGTCCGGCAGCGAGGGAGAAAAACCGTTTGGGAAAGAGCCTCCTTCTTTTGTTATATCTTTTTTTTATGAGAGAAAAAAAAAAGAAAGAAAGTGAAAGAGAGGGAAAAGTCCAATTTTGATATATAGTAAAATAAAAAATCCCATGTTTTCAGCTTATTCACCGCTTAAGTGAAAATTACACTGTGATCTGTAAAACTTCCTGAACGCGGAACTCCTATGAAAATATGCGCCCTTGAGTTACGGAAGCAACCCAAAAAGAAAGGACGTTTTCTGACAAAAATAGAATGAGTTCGATACATTTAAGCGGCGAGACGTCACTGTCAAAAATTAATTACGTCAAAATATCAGCTTATTTGACCTCTGCTACTAGGAAACGTCACAAGGTCGTGTCCCAGAAATCAGAACCTCGATTTGGCTTTTCCAGGAAAAATATACGTCTCTGAGTGCCCGATGTCGTGTCAAAAAATGAGAGCCTTCTGATAAACGGTTGATTTTTTATGAATTTTACAGTACAATACCGTTAAGTCTGTTTTGCTGGTACGAACAAAGGTTTTTGGGCTACCGTTCGGCTTGGCAACATGAAACGGAATTGAAGGAGACAAAATTAGTAAGCCAACGCTTCAAGAACGGGCGAAATTAGGTAAAAATCGACCGATTTATGAATTTTTGAATATTGGAAACCGAACAGATAGATACCAAATAATTCCTCAGTAATTCGAAGTTTACGAAGCCTTCCTCGAATAGTCAGCTCTCGCCCTTGGACTTCCATCAAGAGGATATCAAGACGGAATTTTGGGCATGGAAGCCACGCTCATACAGTACTCGAACCAGGAGATATGAATTTTTTAATGCGCACAAAAATACGGTTCAGCCAACTATTTATCAGTATTTTCCATTGTTCAGCTTTGTCTGACTTGCGAATTCGGGGACCTTCCTTAGAGAATTGGATTTAAGCCCGAACCCAGAAATTAGAGAGGATATCGAGGCGGTTTTAACGATGGAAAAAACACCTTGAGACGGTATATGATATTGGAGTTAGAAATTTCTGAATGCCTGAAACACCATTGATTGGTAACCTGAAAACTCAGTAATAAAATTATTTGACCGCCTTCTGCACCTAATTGGCTCCCGGCCCGAATATGAAAAGTGAATATAATATCAACACGAACTTGGTGATCAAATTTCAGCCTAAAAGAGTACTCTGGCTCGCAGTTAGCAAATTATGAAGTTGACACACCGAAACAGATTTTTTTACCCAAACTATTCTGAATCAGATCAAACCCTCTAGTTCCCTTATATTTCCCAAGACATGAGAAAATACAGGGGAATAGAACATGGTGATAACTCGTTCCTCAGCTGATTGAATTGCTTGCACAAAGACTTTGACGCTTCTGATAAATAGTCTATGCTTTACTGGCATACCTTGATCTTATAGCAACAAAACCAATGTATGCATGCATATGCAGATGAAATGTAAGCCAAATAAAAGTTTTGAAATCAAGAGGGTAAATTTTTTTGCGCAACAACTAACACCTTCCCTTTTCATAACCTACCCCCTGAACTCAAAATCAAAAAAGATTTTTCCTGTTCTTTTCACCCTTTTCTTATTGGATAAAAGAAAAGTCAGTGGCGACTCTTGCTATCTGCAACATTTGCGATAAAATGCAAAACGAAGTCAGTTCTCCCACCGTATTACCAAGTGATTCACAAAATATGTTATGGTGTTTTATAAGTGTCATAATTTTGGCCGGGCATTTTATACACTTATCTGGACTGGTTCGTCTGTGGGAATTACCTTAAATTTTTACAACAACAGTCTAAAAAACTTGTTTAATGAGTGATTCCAATGAAGCACACATTGGACAATTTCAAAGGCTTCCTTCACTTCGATCTAGATCAAGTCACAATACTTTTCCCAGGAGGTGAAGGTGTGGAACCAAAGGGTCTCTTGATCCCTTTGATTGTCGTTATCTTGTTTCTTTCTTAATTGACACTAACATGTACTTTCTTGCAATGTTCTTTTAGCTGTTGAAAAGAAACAGATGAAGAAAGAAAAACTTACTACAACGACGGGATCAACGGACGCACCTAAATAAGATACTTCTTCATCAAAGAGTGCTATCCCAAAAGCTGAGAAATCCAAGACAACAACTAAGGTATAACTTGATTTTTTTTTGTATTGTGTTACCTCTGCTAACTCCTTTTCTTTTTTACAGGCTAGTTGAAAGCCTCCTCATACTCCCAGAAAATGAAAACCCACTTTCGAGATCCCAGAGATTGTTGAAATGATGGAGACGTATCGTCCACTACTTCGAAAACAAAGAGAACAAAGAAGAAGAAAGCAAAGATTTCTGATGCAGCTTCTTCTCAACCACTATAACACATAACAGTCAAAATAGTGCCCCCATCACCAAAAAAGAAAAATAGTTCTCAACCATCTGACGACGTTGTCCTTGAGCGAATTGAGAGTGACTATTCAAGTCCTGGAGATGAAGGATTGAAGGCATGATTTCTTCATGTATTTCTCCTTTAACAACCATTGTATTTTATCGAACTATCTCACACTCTTCTTCTTGTAGAATACTCAACCAATTCCTACTGAATCTCCAATTCAGTATGAAGTTCCTCATAGCAGTGACAATGCTTCTTATCATCCTTTGTCTACTAATCTAGATTCCAACAAACCATCTTTCACCGATGTGAACCAATTAGAGACCAATGCACAACCTGATAAATAACCTTCCTCTCATTCTAAAAGTGGTCACGAGGAACCTCAAGTTGCGACCCAGAAAGCTCTCGGCAAAGATAGGCAAGATGAGGATAGTCTTGCTGACTCTTCTCCTAAAAGATTGCAACTTGATGAAAAAATTCTTGATGAAAAAATTCTTGATGAATATGAGAATTTGTTTGATGACATTGCACAATAATTCCAAGATAAAGAAGAAGAAGAGACACATGCTCATGTTAGTCCAAAGGATAAAACTACTTCCACTAATCAGCAAGATGACATCAGTGTTCGACCACCCCCTTCTCAAGAGGAATTTGAAACTTTAAAGAAAACCAATCCTCTTGAATATGTCAAGTTAATGTTGACTAAAAGAGGTTCATATTTATACAAAAGTCGCTCTAGCCCTTAAACTACTTCTAGTGGAGATTCAAAGGTGGGAACATTTGAACAACTTCTTCAAAAAGTAAAGGAAAAGATATTTGAAGCTGATTTTTTCAATACCTTGAAGAAGGATGCCACTGTGTGCTACAAGTTGAAGAAATTGATTAATCAAATCAACATAGTAACTTTCCCTGCTGAAGTTGCTGAAGTCCTAATCGACATAACCAGCTTAATTGATCAAATTAGTGCAGATTACAATAGGGAACAAGATGTTGCAACAAAGCTTCAAGAGAAACATGCCAAACAAGAAAGTGAGTGGGAGAAAGCGCTCGAGACCTCAAACAAAGCTAAACAAATGGAGAAATATCTCGAGATAATGAAAGAAGAGTTCGACGTTTATACTCGCTTTATATCTCTTTCGAAAGAGGAAATCTAGAACCTGCAGGATACGATTTCTAAAGCTGAAGTTCGTCAACTAGAGATCACAAAGATGGCCCACACTGAGATCAACAGGGAAACTGCTCAAAGTGTTCCACATGTCAAAAACACTAAGAAATTGGAGGGAAAAGTTTCCGCTTGTCGGGTTTCTCAATCAACAATTGAGTACTGATTATGGTTGGCGAAGATCAAGTACGGTATGATGAAGATGAAATTTCCATTTTGATTCTTTGGCATTTATCCTTTGTCAGTTTGCTTTATATTTTGTGTATTTATTATGTAACTTTAAAACAGATCCGTTTTTTGCATTTCTGGAACAACACCATATTGACTTTTTGCCTTTTGATTTACTATTTTGTTGCAATCTTTAATTCCTGAAGTATAAGCTTAAATTTCTTTAAGTATTTACCATTTATCTTCAGGATCCTTTTATCTTCTTCCAACTTCTCTATTTCATAGGCATTATTTGAAAATGCTTGAATGATTCGAAAGGTCCTTCCCAATGTGGGGACCATTTTCCCAATAACTTGTTCTTTCGATCCATTGGTAATATCACCTTCCAAACCAAATCAGTGACTGAAAATACTTTGCCCCTGACTCTTTTGTTGTAGGCTTTAGGTACTCTTTCCTTTTTCTTATTAGGATCTCTAAGGAAATCAACCTTTCTTTATCCAAGTCGACTAATTCATTCATCATCATTTCCCAATAATAGTCAAAGGGGATTTCATTTTGCCTTTGAATTCTGACTGACTACAAGTAAATTTCTACTGGCAAAACTGCATCATGCCTAAAAGTCAGTCGAAAAGGCGTAATGTTAGTTTTTTCTTTGGGAGACGTTCGCCCATAATGCTTGATCCAAAGTCTTGTGCCAATTATTTGGCTTTATTCCCACATGTCATTTTGTTATTCCAATAATCACTTTGTTTACATCTTCGACTTTTCCATTTGCCTAGACATAATGTGGTGTAGATGTTAGTAATTTGAATCCCATTTCTTTAGCAAACTCCTTCATTTTTCGACCAGTGAAAACTGATCCCTGATCAGTTGTGATAGTTCTTGGGATTCCAAATCTATAAATGATCTGTCTTTGGATGAAATCAATGATAGTTTCTTGATCCATGTTCACCAAAGGTATTGCCTCAATCCACTTTGTGAAGTAATCGATTCCTACTAGAATGTACCTTTGACCTTTGGATGAGGCTGGTCGAATTTCTCCAACCAAGTCTAGTTCCTAACCCCTGACGGGCCATGGCTTGATTATAGTATGCAATTCGCTTGCATGGGCATGTTGAATTACTCATGAATTTTGCATTCTTCACATCCCTTGGCGAATTCAATACAATCCTTGAGCATAGTGGGCCAATACATGCCATATTGAAACAAAAGCCACTTCATCTTGTGACCTGTTTGATGTGCCCCACATGCCCTACTGTGCATATTTGATAGTGCTAAGTAGGCTTCACTTTATCCCAAACACTTGAGTAAGATTCCTTCTGGTGATTTCTTGAACAATTCGTTGCCCATAAATATGTAACTTAGTGCATGATACTTAATCTTCCTTTCCGTATTTGCTGTTGGATTCTTCAAATATTCTATTATTGGAACCCTCCAATCCATATATGTTAAACTGTTGATGGCTAATACTTCAAACTTCCTTCATTCGCATATCCAAAACTTGAAATTTCTAAGTCTAACGAAGAAAGTTTAGTAGCCATTAATTTTCCTCGAACTTCAATTGGATCTTCCAGCTTT